ACAAAAGCAGTGTGTAGAAACTCTGTCAAAGCTGGGGAGGGGCAAAAACCTAATCTCTTTTCATTTCCATTTTAGCAGTTATCTTTAAAAAGCCTTCTTCACTTCACTGGTTTTCTATGCTTAGATTTTTGGGTTTTGTGCATTTTGTTTAGAATTTTCTATTTTAATTTCACTATGTATGTTTTTTCATCTGGATTAAAAAAGAGATTAAACATACGACAGTACCCAGTTATTTTATGTTGCCTGATGTGCCCAGGTGAAAAAATATATCGTCTGGAATATCTGCAAGTATAAACTAAGAAACAAAACATTCACAACCATCCTCTTACCCTCCTTGCCTACCAGCACCTTAAAACTCAAGCCAGTTCACCAAGGGGATCATACAGTATTTGCTCTTACAGCTAGGGTTCAGGTAGCTGTGGTTCATAGCTCTTCGTTAATAACGTGTGTGCTAATTTATAGCCCTAACTTAACTAGCTTTATTCTTGAGGTGGCATTAATGAATCACATTTGTTTCCTTTTTTTTTTAATCAAATAAGCCAATTTTATAAAAAGGTTGAGAATGGATTAGAATTATTTTTGTTACAGTGTCTCATTCCTGAGTGCCGTGGGCGAACCTTCACAGCTGACAGAAGCTCTCCTTTAACCACTACGGTGGACTGGCAGTCCGTCAAGTAAGTGTGTCTTCCCTTCTGTACAGAAATGGTAGTCAAACAGTGACAGGTTGGCTCACTCCCTGTTACACTGTAACTTTAATAATCTTACTTTGTTACAGCAAGCATTCTTCAAAATTTGTATTACTAAGCAATCGTCTCATCTGAGCACTAGTGGACTTTGTATGTTAAACCTAGCCAATATAATAACTGCTTGGAAATTCCTCCTACCATGACTGAGTTGTTTGAGAAATGTTCAGTTTGTGTTCTTTGCAGCTTTTCCTGATCACTTCTGATTGTATCTGTTATTTAATTATGCCCTTTAATGAGCTGTATGTCAGCTAGAAAAGCCCTAGTAAATTACATTGGTCAGCTCTGAAAGTTGACCAAATGAACAGAAAATAAATCTGAGGGTTAAACCCCCTAGTTTGAAGTGGTCGTGTCCCCCAAGCCCTGAGGTCTGCTTAGTGCTGTGCCTGCCCATTCATCTACTTTGTCTGTCTAACCAGCAAGTCGGTTCGCCTGAAATTT